TATAAAAGTTAGGCAAGTCAATGTATGTCAAGTTTATTGTACCAGTATTTCACCTGGAGAAGCTACTGTGTTAGCGGAACATGTCGTGTGATTATGCAATTTTTGGAAATCTTATCGTTTGTGAAGTTTTATACATGTACTATGGATTTCCATCAAGTAACGGCCGAGTCAATTCAAAAAAAAGTCATAACTATTATTCATCGTTAAGTGTTCGTTTACATTGACGTAGGGATAAAGTTCAAATTATTTATGTTAATTGACAAATACCTTAACGAAACTCATTGGTATCCGTATAGTGCGACTGCCAACTACCTACTTGATAAGCTGCGAAAAAATTTAGTAGGTAATAAGGCGAATTCCTCGTTAGAAAAACAAACAGTTACTTATTCAGAATAATATACCGTAATTCTACGAATATTTCAGTTGCGCCCTTTTGAATGAGAGATATATAATTATTATTATCAGCAGTGCAGCAAATGGTTTCGATCACACATATATAGCCAAAAATATCTATAGATACAAGAAGATGATACTCGGGCAAAAATGAACACTAATTAGAGGTGATGAAACACAAAGAATCTGACTGATGACATATTATAGGTGAACGAGAATCAATGAAAACACCCTTTTTTCTCTCAACTCAAATGGGAGTAATGAAATGTTCAAATCGTGTTTGAAAATGTGAGTGAAATAGGTGGATACTCGTTACTCAGGAACTCAGCTGTTGTAAATAAGCCAGGGAGCCACGGTGAATTGGCGAGTTCAGAATACTGCTGATTGAAGCATTATTCTCTTCATTCAACCATCTAGCTTTATTACTGAATCGAAATTGGTATAAAATTCGATTACTTTTCTGTGAAAACATACACCATTTCTAATTCAAAAATATAAAAAGCTCACCTATTGGTTGAGTAATTGCCAAAGCATAAATTTGATATGATGGATATTCAATGATGGTTTTCGTGAACTGGGTGAGCTGATCATTCAGGAAAAAAGTAGTAGAGTGAAGTCGGGTATTATGGAATATATCCGGTAATATGGAATACCCTATTTTTGACAAAACTACAAGCGCCATCTATTTCAATTTGATATAATATCATTCCATTGAGTTCATAGTTCTTCCACAAGTGAGTTTATTCTAAAGGTAACTATCGTGTATGCCAATTTTAATAGTTGATGGAATTTCGGTGCTCACAAAATTTCAAATTTATATTTCAAACACATTTGGAAGTGATTTTATTTCATGTTATTGTTTAGTAGAGTAGATTAATGATGTATGAAAGGTTCAATGTAGAGATAGCACTCATTTTCGATAATTCGTGTTTTTTCGACTATTTAACGTCCGAAGTAATATAGGCGACAATTATGGAAAAGTATTTCATATTGCCCGATCTAATTAATAATTAACAAAATGAAAAACAATGCGAACCAAAACTCCATGAAGTGAGGAGTGGAATGAAGAAGAAGAAAAAAGCGATATAACTCAAGAAATAAAAACTGTATTCCATAATCCCCGACTCAACTACAATTTTTTAACGAATATCACCCTGTAACTTATGATTTTATTGAAAAATCATTATCAATGTTACTAATTCCACGAAACCAGGTATGATGGGAGTACGTCAAGTAAATACGAATGACTATCAAACACTTCTGTCAATAATATTTTCGTGCTGATAAGCTTACGCCATCAGAACTAACAACTCTTAGTCATTAGTACAAACATTATGTCAAATCGTTAATGATTGAAAAACTATCTTGGAAATCTTATAAACAGGGTGTCCCAAAATAACATAGAAAGTTCCAACTACAGATTCTAGAAACAGAAATAGTAAAAAAAACTCATGTGAGCATGAGGCCAGAAATGGCCCCTTGGGGAGTTATAGCCATCTGAAAGAGGGTCCGAGATGATAGGTTTTTGTAAATATTTCCAAAACCCTTTTTGTTGAGATGACGAAATTTTATATAATTACGTATATTATTTTTATGCTCGATTTGGAAATGTCAGGAATTTTCCGAAATTTTGATCAGTGGTGGAAAATAGGTGGGACTAGGGGCATTTCTTCCCCCAACTTTTTTTCTATGGAATTTTTGCCAATTTGACCAGGAAATATGCAAATGCAGTAAAAAATGATACTGTTGCTTGGTTTCGATAGCAATCACCATTTTTGAGATAAATCGATTTTAACATTCTGCTGCGTAACAAAAATAGTGCTTTTTCCTTATAATAGGGTACCAAATGTTCCCAAAAACTATTTTCCGATGGAAAATACTCTTTTTTCAATATTAACTCGTGATATTAGACTCAAAATATGGAGGGAACCATATGAATGATTTGAAAAATATTATGGGAAGTAGGTACCCTATTAAGAAAAAGTCTCGGAGTAAAATTTTTATTACGCAGCAGACTTTTGAAATCAATTCATCTCGAAGATGATGAGTGCTATCTAAACTAAACAAGTATCATTTTCAGGTAGAAATGTTGATATTTTCATATTTCCTGGCCAAACTGCCAAAAATTGCATATAGAAAATAAAGATCTAAATTTCGGAAAATTTTCAACATTTCCAAATCAGACATGGAAAGTAATACATGTACGAAATTTCGTTATCTCAACACAATGAGTTCAGGAAATATTTACAAAAAAACAATATCTCGGGCCCTCTTTCAGATGGATATAACTTCCCAGGGGGGCATTTCTGGAATTATGTTTATACATTTTTTTTATGTTCTGGTTCCCACGGAAAGGGATATCCTGTAATGTTCAAACATCGTGAGAACCAAAGGAAATGAGGTAGGAATTCGTGTTCTTCTCAAATTTCAGGAGGTTATATGCCTCGTGGAACACCACCCTTGGCAATGTGTTCCAGAGCCTGGCTGTTCGTTGGTTGAACGAGTCTTTGGAAAGAGATCTCATGCAGGTCTCCAAAGTGACCACGAAGGATGTGAAGCCTCAACTCGACGGGTTAATCTCGCGGAGACTACCAAGGGAGCTGTAGTTGATATTTCAGAAGAGCATCGTCCATGAGAATATTGCCCTTTTTTGGATATAATCTAACAGTTTCAGGTTATGTTTGGGTGCTGCACTCCAAATATGGGAACAGTATTCCAGGACAGGTCGGATCTGTGCCTTATAGATCATAAGCAGCTGACTGGAAGTGGAATAGCTCCTGGCCCGAAACAGAAAACCAAGTTTTTGGGATGCACTTTTAGCAATTGATCTCACGTGATTTTCCCAAGAAAGGTTATTGCTGATAGTAATACCAAGCATCGAAATTGATGTCTTCAAAGGTATGGTTACTCCTGAAAAGCTCATGTTGGGCACAGTGAGATCGGCTTTTCTAGAGAAAAGGCATGCTTGTGTTTTGTTTGCATTGAAATCTATGCACTTTTTTCTCTATTTTTGTTCCTAGAAGTAGTTTCGGAATATCCTGTATAGTGATGGTTGATAAGAGGATATTTATACACTGCGGTTGATTTTTAGTTATTCGATAATTTTTCCATTTTTACAGGGTGAACTGCTCTGGAATATAAATACATCTATGTTCACCCTGAGTTCCATGAAGAGTTCAAATATTAGTTGTGGTGCTTTGTGCAACCTATTGAAAAATATCATAGATGTTGTTATATCTTCAGAACGTTTCACCCTGTATATATCGAACAGGTGTTGAATATGGAAATAAAAAAATAAGTAAATTTTTCAGCTTCTCTACAAAACCTTCACCTGAATTTCGAATGAATCCACCCATACGTATGAACCGCAGAAGGAATGGTTCTTTGAAATAGATTTTGAAGTTTTCGTGTTTTTGAAAAATATTTAAGATGAGAAGTGAAAGTAGAGTTTTGATTACAGACATCACAGTGCTGACTAGAAAACGATCAAAGGTAATAGGCAAGGAGAATTCAAAAATAAAATGAAATATAGGGAATTCGATTTGAAATGGTCATTCATGATCACCTTCTCAAATACTCATGATTTCAGGGTGGAATGAATACTCAGTTTCAATTGTTCATCTGAGAAATCGAAAATTTTTGTGCCAAATTGTGTCGTACAAAAATTTTGAGTCATAAGAATTATGACATTTCTTGTTCTTATATGAGCAAATTGTATAACAGGTACATATCAACTATAATGAAAGATCCAAGAAACCAGCATTATGTAAGCTCCTGCTTTAATTTTTCATCGTTCAAGCGTTAACTAGGTCTAGAAATGCAAGCATCAAAAACAACTGACTTGTTGAATGATCTGTAGATGTAGAACAATAAACACTGAAAGTAATACCGTAATATTATTCAAGGAATATTCATTATTCGATGAGTTTGAAAGAGTGGATTTTTATTTAAATCTCTCAAAAAATCATAAACCCTATTGTGTGTAGTATATTTATTATGATAAACTCGAATCAGGGAAGAACTGGACAGGGGGGACACGTCGATTTAGATTTCGCGGGGGACACATTTCTCTGTAATTATTGTCATATCCCAAAGTTGAAACCTCAAAGCGGAACAGGCATCAACTCTCGATTTTCAAATGGAACACCCTGTATTTTATTTTATTCATGATCTGTTAGTGAATATGATCAGAAATCCAACAATACCAAGGTTGATGGAGTTTTCTCAAAAGGCTACTGAGAGATAGCTGATTGATTTTTCAACTAGCTCCATGAGTAGGACGCAGAGGAGGGATCGAACTGGCAACTTCGCCAGCAGAAATGTTTCCGTTGCAATTAAATACAGAGTGTTCCATTTGAAAATCAAGAGTTGATGCCCGTATACCGCTTCAAGGTTTCAATTCTGGGATATGATTATAAGAGGAAAATGTGTCCCACATCAGATAAAAATCGACCTGTTCACATCTAGTTTATTGTTACCCGAGACCCCCATGAAGTCAAGTTTCTCATGGCCACCCAATATGATTTTTTTTAAAGATGAATAATTGCTATATAGCTACCATATCTAAAGAAAACATCACAATATTATGAAAATGAGGGTATACGCACCTTTATTATCAACTACATCTTCATTGACAACTACGTCTTCATTGTCAACTATATCTTCATTGTCAGCTATGTCCTCATTATCAACTACGTCTTCATTTTCTAGTGATTCGATTTCTTCACTTGAATCTGTATTTTCAACTATAACCATTGGAGGAGAGTTCTCTGTTGGTCTGAAAAATAAGAACAGTTATCAATCTTATCTTAGCTGTTATAATTTTTTTTCAGGCTAACGAATACCTGAACAATCTGGTTCATTCAATAAACTAGGAAGCGTACAGCGTACAGGGTAGGATGTCTATATATATATTTGTGAATAGAAGAAAAAGATATTGCACCAGAGTTGAAAATATACTACAACTTTCATATTTGTAGTTATTTTCACCTTGTATAATTGAAGCTGTAGGTAGGGGTCAATTTTCTGGTTGGCCTATAATACATTATTCTTCACATTACCTCTATTTCAATTAAGTGACCAATTCATAATATTATTACAACGTGACCTTTTATGAATTTGAATTTGAAAAAGAGGGTTTCCGTATGTTTTTTTATCTGTGATAAGATACATGATATTACCTATTGGGACTAGAATCCAAGCTTCCTTCTTCTTCGACTTCACCAATCGTAGCAAGTTGCGATATGCTCCATTTGGAAGAATATAAATCAATTCCGTTAGTGTAGGTGTCAATGTTATCACTAGCAGGACTATCGTAATCAACAATATCAGTTTTGCACCTCTCATTCTCTAGGAAGAGTTTCATTATTTCAGTGGATGTTTCAATATTCTCCTTGATGCCGTTACAAGACTTTGGCACAAAATCTACGAGTCTTGGAAGTAGGTTCCCGTTGTATTTTTTGCTGTCATCATTTTTCTCAACGGATGACAGCATTGTATCTTTGGAACGTGGAGGTACTGGCGGCTTTTTCATGATTTGCTTGGTATCTTCTTTTATAATCGGGTCTTCCCTCACGTCTTTACTTTCAGGAACGATGACCTTAGTGTTTTCATTGCCATAACTCAGGGGAGCATCCTGAAAACAGAGAGGATTTTCCTCATCCATGATTATATTATTATTTTCTTCTCTGCGTATCATTAAGGGTTTCCCCGAATGTTTAGTCGCTACTATCGGATCATCATCATCATAAATGTTTATATTTGAAATATCGAGTTGTCTTTGTAATGAGGTCGGCGTGGAAGGTAAACTTCCGGAAAAACTCGAGGTGGTTGTGGTGGGAATCGAACCGAATTTATCAATAACTGTCGATATAGTACTTCCTGTTTCATCCGATTCGCTGAGACTCTGCGTAGATTCTTGCAGAAAGAGATCGACGTATACTTCAGCATCAGGTGGTCCTAGGCTGCCATCAGAAAACCTCCTGTCTCTTCGGGATACGTCTGGGGAACTACAAGGACCCACACTGCTCCTAGGTGATTGGAGCTTTTTAGGCATACTTTGCTCCGATCTAACAGTGTTCTCATGTGCATTATCGGACGGTTCTTTAGGCACAGCTGTACTGTTTTTTAATAACTTCCTCGGAATTTTTCTAGGTGGAACTGGCGGTGGAGGTGGGGGAGTTCTTTTTTCATCAGCTCCAATAACTGTCGGAGTCTCTTCCGATTTACTTTTCGTGGGTTGCTGGTAGATATGGCGAATTAATAATTTTATGGCTACATTAGAGTCTTTGAGGCATCTCACGCAGTCTATCCTGGTGAGGGTGTTGACCGGAATGGAGTCTATTTCTAGAACTTCGTCTCCTTCGGATAATTTTCCCCACGAACTTTTTACGCGGGAGGCAGGACTGTCTTCTGCACAAGATTGGATGAAAAGCCGTTTAACGAATTCACTGGCTTTGGTGCCTCCTTCGAATTTGAGCCCAAAGCCCAGTCTTTCCCCTGGTAATCTGTAAACTATCACTTCTTCCGTTGCATCTTTGAGAACTTTGCTGTTTTCGTTATCACCGATTGTTAAAACTGTCACATACCCGGAGCCGTTGGAGTCGAAATTGATGTTTTCTTTACTGGAGTCTTGTTGATTTGTTCCTACTGCCACGACTGTCACGAAATTTTCTGCTTGTGATTGAGACATATTTTGTTTCTATGGTCCCCCTGGTTCGAATATCTGAAAATAACCGAGCATATTTTCAATCAACACGGAACTGTTTTAAGTCGATCAAGTGGATAATAAATAATCAATTAAAATTAGCTCGAGCATAATAATTGTTTCACGTCCATTATACGAGAGATATCTCCATAACAAGAACTATAAATGCTCCGTGATCATGTATGTATATAAATATATGCACCTGCAATAATTGAAATATCGTGGCCTCCTTTAATTCCATTCCATGCTTTGATACTTTGATAGTGGCTACCTGTACCAGCTCGCAGATGAACTACATTTTATTGTAAGCGAATTGTGGTATATTTTATCGTGATTATGTTTGATTTTCTACTCGAATGGAGTTTCACTATTTATGATTTTTATCGAAGAATATTGTCACAGTATACCTACCTACCTGTTCTGCAAGTCGACGTGAATAGAAAATATCTACATAAGTTTAAACATATCCGTGGTGAAATACTAATTCCATAATCTGCGAGATACAAATTGATACACGAAAGTAAATATCGAAAAATAAATAATTCATATACGAGTTTATTAAGTGTATGCAATTCAACGCAACTAAGTATTGGAACTGAGAATCACTGTAACGCACTTCCTGACCAAGATATTTCGCGACCTATGACATAAATCTAAAAGGAATTTAGAATGTCTTTTTCGCGTTCCAATTCAAAACTCACAAACGATTTGAAGAAGTCACTAGAAACACGATAGGTATTACTTGTCGAAGGGTTTCAACTGAACACACGTGACACCATTACGAATCGATATGAAATAATGTTTCGGTCGGTAAATATAAAATGTAGTTCATCAAGTGAGTCGAGGATAAAAGGCCACGATTATTTTAACGGTATATATCTGTTACAAAATGCAAATGCAGAACGTACCACAAACACCTATTTCTGTACACGAACTTCACACACAAACATTCATTATATGTACTTATAGGGTTAAAACTCAAATTGGGCATCGCTCACCTTTAAAATTCCCGGGCACATTTTCCAGGGCCTGCCGTAATTTCAAACATGGGGCACTCGTAAGAGAGATAGTAAACAACTGTTTTCACCTCTCAGAGACCCACTTGGAGCATATGACCTCGTACGCTCTCGCATGTCCTCGCCAAGAGTGGCATTCATGTCTTGGCTCTTGTCTTACGGTGCGGGCCGTTCTTTTTTCGATACTCGCGAAAAAGTCGGATGGAGCTGGGCCACTGGCCATCTCAGATCTCAGCCACAGTATATTATCATTTCACATATACTGTGTCTCAGCCATCGTCCACCGGCGCGATCTAGAGGTAGGTCGGCCGGTATCTGTCTGTTTCCTACGAAAGCGTAGAACGGACATGAAATACTTTTTTTCTTAATTTCGAGTTATAACTCGAAATTAGCTTAATTTCGAGTTATAACTCGAAATTGGTACTAATTTCGTGTTAAAACTCGAAATTAGCTTAATTCCGAGTTATAACTCGAAATTAGTACTAATTTCGTGTTACAACTCGAAATTAGCTTAATTTAGAGTTATAACTCGAAATTAGTGCTAATTTCGTGTTACAGCTCGAAATTAAGCTTTTCTTAAGTTGTAGTACGAAACCAAGCTCTCAATGAGTCAAATTTTCACAGGGAGTAGTCTTATAAATCTCGGTATAGTACCTAACAGTGTAGTTAACAATGGAAGAAATAGTGTACCTATATTATCACACCATATAGGTATTTTAGGAAACTTGTTTTCAACACATCGCTTTTCCATCACAAATAACATATCGCAACTACATTGCAAAAAACATATCGTTGTTATATCGCAGAGACCTTATCGCAGCGACGTCGCATGGATGAAACTTGAGAGTGACAAAATAACATCCCTCTGACATCGCAGCGACGTCTATGCGACAAAGAATGCGATATCACAGATCACAATTGTTACATCGCTGCGATATCTCTGTGATGTTACTGTATTTGCAGGAATGTTGTTTATAAACTTTTTTGTTATTCACTCGAACTTATTTATTTCACTCATTTCTGAGTTATACCGGTTGATAGTAAATGTTTCTTTTATGACAAAAACTGAGACTACGGATGATTTTCACGAGAATTCCATGAATATAAGTTGCCATGGCAACCATTGTTATCGCAAATGTTGTCAGAGATATTGTAAAATTAAGCTAATTTCGAGTTGTAACACGAAATTATTACTAATTTCGAGTTATAACTCGAAATTAAGCTAATTTCGAGTTGTAACACGAAATTAGCACTAATTTCGAGTTATAACTCGAAATTGAGCTAATTTCGAGATGTAACACGGAATTAGCACTAATTCCGAGTTATAACTCGAAATTAAGCTAATTTCGAGTTGTAACACGAAATTAAGCTAATTTCGAGTTATAACTCGAAATTAAGAAAATAATATCTCGTGTCCGTTTTACGCTACGAGAAAAAAATCACAAATGATCTAAACTTAAATGGGAATTCTATTTATGTTTATGTTTATGTTTTTGGGTGCATGATAAATAATTGATATTCATCGAACAGGGCGTGGAAAGCCTGCCAAACTTCACCAGCCGGTTCTACGATCAAAAATAGGAAGGAAAGTTTCAATGAACATGAGACGAGAAATGTCTCCTAAGGGAGCTACGGCCCCCTGAAAGGGGGCCCAATGCAGTGAAAGTGAAATCATTTCAAAATTCCACTCAGGAGTGTATAATACAGGGTGGGACTACATTAAATATTACTCAAAGTTCACAGAAAAAAGGTGCTCTTGTTCCGCATCGATCAGATGTATCATTATCGAGTAAAAGCGATTCAAAAATATTGTTACATCTCAGATATAATGCATAACATTGCAATGAGTCGTAGTGAAAATGGAAAAAAAATGCACAAAAATTGAAGTAGTTTTTTCAACATCATATGCCTATTTTTCACGCTTTAATGAGATTATTTGGTAAGAAGAAAGTAGTTGATTTTTTTATAGCCACTATGATTTGGGAATTGGCAACGTCATCCATAAGATGTGAGTGTATCAATATTTTTAAATCGATTTCACTCGAAAATGATACATCTGATCGATGCGGAACACGAGCACCTTTTTTTATGAAATGATATGGATTTTCATAATCCGAGATTAAATTGTCGAAAAATATTCATACAACAAATTTTGAGCAATATTCAATGTAGTCCCACCCTGTATTATACACTCCTGAACGAAATTTTGAAATGATTTCATTTTCACTGCATTGGGCAAGGAAAGTATATTTCTTGTACCAAATTGCATCTTTTTATCACATGGGGTTTCGGAAATACTCAAGAAATATTATCCCTTTCATTGAAACTTTCCTTCCTATTTTTCATCGTAGAAGCCACTGGTGAAGTTTGGCAGGCTAATTTTGGGACACCCTGTATATTATTTGAAAAATGGCCATCCATAACGAAGATAAGAAACTATTGTGAAATTGCCATATAAATTTGATAGCCGATATTTCAGAAAGGATTAATCGTAATTGGCTAAAATTTGGCATCGACGTTTCTTTATTGAAACTTTTTTATATGGCCTATTATAAAAAAAAATATATATCCGGACTTGGGATAGATTCAGAAAGATCAGACAAAATGGCATTAGACCTGCTCTTCAATTTGCACGGCACACTTTGACCGATTTAATGAAAAAATATGGAACAAAAACCTTCGTTTTTTTTCTCAACTACTCTTCTGTCAATTTCTATCCAACAAAAATGTACACAAGATCAATTTAAATGAACCAAGTTGAAAGTTAAGACTTATGTCCGATCTCTCTGATGAAATTTTTTGAGGAAAGTGATCACAAAATGAAATTTTTGACATAACAATATAATATGAATTTTTCCCAAGTGCGGATCTGGACTTTCTTCTTCATAATATGCCACCTTGAATAGAGAAACGTCGCTACCAAATTTCGACAAATAACGATGAATCATTTCTGAAATATTGGCCATCAAGTTATATGGAGAGTAAGAAATTTTTTTCATATATATAATATACAACTCGTCTTGATTTCCCCTAATCACCATTCGGCTGTATGAGTCTCCTCATGAATCACCCTGTATATTATTCACTTTTTGTAATCTCCATTAGAAGCTGGATTCAATAATATATCCCACATATAGTGTTTGTATACAGTGCGTACGCATGAGGTTGCCATCATTAAAAACCACCGATAACGATAGTTTCTTTTACACGAATCATTCTGTATAAATTATTGTATTCGAAAGAATGCCCGAGGCTTCGAGCGTTCTTACCAAAAATCATTCCTTTGATTTTCAACGAATTTAACCACTAGGTACTTCAAGATTAAGTTCCATCAGTTGAAAACAATTCATAATAAAATTCACAAAAACAATCAACATAGTGTACATAAAGAGAAGGCGTGAATGATTTTATAATTTTATATCTGGCATTTCTATGGATTAGAAGTTCTTTTATATTATGGTTGATTAATCTGTCCCACAGTCTGTACTGACGTTTTGAATTTAATGAACCTGTGAAATCTTATAAAATCCGAGAACCGAGAACAGAACTGTAACTGTAAACAATCAGCGATCACCATCAATCAAGAATTCAGGTGATAACCTTGATTGCCTTATAGGGAATAGCATTGACGATTTTTACATGATTTGCGAGTCCTCTCTTATTGAGATATTTTCCAATGCTATGCAATTGCTTTGAAATAGTAATACTTGTTAACTCGAGTGGCTATAGCTACAGCCATTAAAATTTCCTATTGTACACACTAGTCGAATTCACGCCACCTACCTATTTAATCTCTTCTTGAAACAATGCTTCATTATTGAAAATCTTTAGAAATACTCTTTCTCAATGATTAAAACCAGCAACTTCTAAAAACCTTAGCTCCTTAGAAATATCAAGGAATCTGCTTGCATTCTTCTGAACGGAGACAATAGCATTGCTCTCTGTTCAGTTGATATAGATAGAATATGGTATTCACTACTGAAATCTGAAATTGAAAATGGTAAATTCAAGATTTATTAATGAAAACATCCTGTAACTCAT